GGAAGGGACAGCTTTGTGGAATCTAAAATCCAATCCTTTTTCCTGGTGAAGTCCAGTGGCTTGGTTGTGGACTCTTATTTTTTTTGGCACAATCAACAATGTTTAGGGTTTTCTTGGTAACCAAAAAAGTGTAATGGGAAGTAGGAGGGCAGAGACAGACTGAGAAAACTTGGATTACCATTGGGGGAATTTTTACCAAAAAAAAAGTCTCCAAAATGAACACAAAGAGAACATAAGGTGGAGAAGAAATGCCATACAGACCAAAATATGAAAAGGAGCACATATTTTAGAGAAGAAATGGGTCAATTTGATATCTTGGCAAGGGATGTAGTCTTCTGGCAAGTCATTTGGCTTCCCATTATTTATTTGGGGAATTATGATGAGTTTCTTAAGACATTCTTATTTAGGGAATCCATAGGATCCTTAAATCATCTCTGAAATAGAAAGTCATCAGCTACATCTTGAGAAAGTGACCACATTTACAACTTTTTTCTTTCCTGGAGTAGGTTAGAGGATTGCCTTATATTAACTCAAGGATAGCCTGTCTCTGTCCCAATGAGCACCTACTGTGTGTGTGTGTGTGTGTGTGTGTGTGTGTGTGTGTGTGTGTGTGTGTACTAAAGCAAACATTGGTCAGAAACCAGTCTCTGCTACTGCCTAGCTCCTTGACCTTGGGATTCACTTCCACTGTCTGGCACAGTTTCATATTTTAAACCTGCACTAGAGATAACCTTCAAGCTATTTCCCAGCTCTAGATACCACAAAGGTCTACTTCTATTGATGGAAAACTTTTAATTCCTTTGAGCCTTAGCTAAGTTGTTGACTCTTCTGGGCAGCCCTCATCCCAAACTCCTGAAGATCACCTCCTTAAAATATCTTGTATTTCATAGGGTCATAGATCTAGGACTGAAGAGACTCCAGAAACTATCTTTTCTTATCTCTTCATTTTCCTGTTGAGGAAACTAAGACCCAAGAAGGATAAGTGACTTCCTTAAGGTCAGACAGTTAGTGACAAATTTAGGATGTGAACCTAAGACCTCTGACTATATGGCCAACGGTCCTTGCACTTCACCAGGTTGTCTCTTAGAACTTCAGCTCCTTCTGGACAGGGATAGTTTCTTTGTCTTTTTTCCTTTATACTGCCAAAGCCTACCACTGCATCTTGAATATGAGAGAAACTTAATAAATGTTTGTGGAAATTGAATGTTGGCTGAAATTCTTCTGGGAATATTATATTAAAAAGGATTGGGAAATGGATCTGTATTGCATGCATCCCTCCTGCCTAGAATTTATTAAAATAATAAAAACAAGAACCAAAGAATTTAAGTACAAAGGGCTTTTTATTGACATTGTAAGAAATGTTGTTTTTCTTTGTTATGAAAGAACTAAGTGGTTCTGAAAGCAAAACTCCAGGGGTTCTGTCCATGGTGCTATAAGCCTTTCAGTTTGATGCAAGGCCTTAAAGCATCACATCACAACTGCAAGTTTATCCAAAGGAGGACCCAAGGCCCTATTACACCCCAACACTAGTCCTACGATACATAAATGTATTTACATTTTTTAAAAGAAAGGATTACACGTTTTATTAAAAAAAAAACTAAAAAGATTGGGTTGGGGGAGGAAACTGTGGGTTTATCTTACACACATCTGCAGGATGCACAAAAGGAAACTTACAGGGAACATTCAGACAAGGGAACAATGAGCGTCAGAAGTTGGTGCGATGGTTCAGATTATGGGAAATGGTGCATGCTCTTGGCTGGCCAATGAGGGCTCCCTCCATGCACTCACCAGGCAAAACATCTTGGTCCCTCTTGTTGACAATATTAACACAAAATAAGGCACATACATTGTGGAAATGGAAACACTGTTGGTTGTCATAGATTCCAAGTCTGAAAATATGGGTTGGCCTAGATCATTTATTTTTCTTTCTTCAAAAAGACAGGGGTGATTAACAGAAGTACCATTTGCAGACCCTCCTTGAAGTCTGTGCTATGTTGAGCCCGGTCTCATATCTCCTTTAAACACTAAGTATGAAAGGCAGAATGGACACAGGATGCTGCAGCTAGGGGAAGGGGGTGGAAAAGGCCTGATATTTGGATTCACCAAGCAATGGGCAGGGGAAGGCTAGCCTATGAGAGCTGGTATGCTCTGAGGTAACCTCAAAAGTACCTTCCTAATACTGAACTGTACCTTGTTGTTGGAAATACCTTTCATGGACCATTCATATTGGAATGAGGTAAACTTTTATCCAAAACACTGATGCCACTTGCAAGATGGATGGCAACTGCACATTGAACAGGAAGGATGGTAGATAAAAGACCTGTTCTAATAAATAAAAAGAAATCAAGTGTTCTGGATAACAGAGAGAAAAGACTTCTAGTTGAAAAAAAGAAACAGAAAAGAAAGTAGGCCCTTAAGATTCTAGCAGTTTTTCTAGGCTAGTGTGGGTGTTTATGACATGGGCATTTGTAAGAAGCTTGGTCATGCTGGTCAGTTTCCAGAATGGATACCTGGTCATGGGCTCTTTATACTATGTTTATCAGGGCAAATATATGCATAATAAATGGGTTCGCGAGTTTAAAAAAAAACCTTGCCAAGTGTCACTGATTCTATCTGCTCCATTCTGCAACTTCACAATTGGTCCCTTTCTTTCATATTCAGTGAACCCTGTACCCCATTAACGCTTAACTCTGTCACTGACCACAAGAGTTGGGACTTTCAGAGCTCATATGTACTCCTGTGAGAAACCTAAAATCTGGAGACATTAAGATTTAGTCAGATGATAGAAAGAGGATACACCCCAAGACTGAATGTACTGACTAATTTTAGGAATGAGCCATGTGCCATAGAGCCCCTTCCTTTCCACATATCTCCTAACATTCTCTTGTGTTCTAGGTCAAATGTGAGTACTCCCTTGATTTAAAAAAAAAAAAGCAAGGTTTATAGAAATGTTAAGGAGGAGTTGGGGAGGGAGGTAGGAAATAGTTCAAATCCTGCCTCAGAAACACTTACTGGCTGTGTGACCATGGGCAAGTCACTTAACCCAGATTGCCTTGAAAAAAATGCTTGGCCTCAGAGCATAACATAACTGCGTGACATTGGGCAACTCACTTGCTTTTCTGGGTCTCAGTTCTTTATCTGTAAAATGAAGATATTGCACTCAATTATCTCTGAGGTACCTTCTAGGTCTTTATGATCCTCTCATCTGAAATAATAAATTAGTGGCAGCTAGAATACTTGGACCAATTAATGGTGGAATGCATGGGGGAGAGAATAATGATTCTAACCTTTCTGTTCTTCCTTTCAAATTTCTTTTTTTTTTAACACTAATTTAAATGGGGAAAAAGGAGGAAGAGGCACAGAATTGACTCATAACACTTTGAGTCACAGACTCTTGAGAGTGGGAAGGAAATACAGAGCCCAACTAGTCCAACCAGTATCTGAGTCAAAAACAATAAACAAAAAAAAATCCTCTCCACAATATCCCAGATTGGGATGTCCTGAGGAGAGAAGAATCTAGCCTTCACTTTCACTTCTAGTGAGAGTCAAAATAGAACAGGGTTTTGCAGGTATTTCAAGGTATTTCTGCCTCTTGTTCTAATAATCCACATATTAAAAACAAAACAAAACAAAAACAGTAACCTGAACAACCCACATAGTATTTGTGCACATACAGTATATCACAATGTGTATCAATTGCATTGGGGGAAGGAGTCCTGTAAAATATTAAACAGTTTCACTCCAAAATAAAAATATAGAACCTACTTTACATTAGGGACAAAATGAATACAAAATTCATGTTTTTTTCAAAACTGATGTGGTGTTTCATAGATACTGGTGAAAAAATTAAGGTGTCCACACAACCACTGTATATAGTTTCCATTGTACTTCCAAGAAAATTCAAAAAATAAGTTGAGCGATTTATACCCAAGTGCAATACAAAAAAGTGATTTTTCCTCTCTTACTCTTTTATAAGTCCCTTAAAATAGGGGTTTAACATAGAAATCCTCCTTCATGATTGCAGCAGTTAACAGGTACTAAATACACAGCCAGCAATGGGTTTATGTGGATAACTTCTGTTTCAGAACTCTAAAAACAGTTGATTTTCAGTCCTCTCTGGGCATAGTGAAGAGAAGATGATCCACGGATCATCCCTACATAATACTCTTTACCTACATAATAGCTTTAGTCTCAGCATCCACCAAACTTTTCCTGCAATTATCTAATTGGGTTGTCCCTTCTTTCCCTTTCTCTCCCTCTGGCTGAAATGCTACAAAAGCAGAGGAATATCTAAAAGTCAAATTGAAAGAGGGAGGAAGAAGAGGAAGGAAAACAAATATACCTGAGAAGTGACCATTGACAAAGACTCACTCAAACTCATTTCAATTCACAGACTGTCTGGGAGAGAAAAAGAAAAGCAAAAACATGGAGAATGTAATAGTTTATCTGTTAAGAGTTCCCTTATTTCCCTGGACCCACAGCAATTAAACAAAAAGCCTGCTATGGATTCAACTAAGTTGGGATGCAGGACAGTGGGTATGAGAGCAGAAGATGTAAGTCTGTTGGACATAGCATATAATACACCAATGGGGGATCACATTCTATTCTCTGCTTATTGTGCCCAGTGTAATCAAATTGAAAAAGGAAAAGGAAAAACAGAAACATGGTCCTTGGGAAATCAATCCCAACACTCTGGTGTCTTTTGAGTAATAGAAAACTGTCCCATCCTTTCACTGGACTTCTCTTTAAAAAAAAAAAAGGAAAACATGCACATGACACATTTATACTGGTTTACAATTCAAAAACAGGTTACAGAGCTTTAAAAAAATGAAATGGGACAAGGACGAGGAGGAGGAAGAGGAATGGGGCTAACAATACTGACTCAAAATTGAAATGGAAGACAGTTTCTCCCTACAACACTTTAGGGTTTCTCAGAGTCCTTTTTCCATAAAAGGAATATACTTGAAACACATCCCATTCAGGTGAGATGAGATTACAAAAATACATACACAACTAAAAAGAATCCATTTCACCTTTAAAATTCCTAAAGTTGTTTCTGTTTTTTTTTTTTCTTTTATCTTAATTTTCCCAACATCTATTGCATCACTGCTAGAAATTTGCTTTCTTCTGCAAGGGAGGTCAGCAAAGAGTTCATGTCCCCAATTGCCATGTTGGTGGTATTAACAGGCAGGGCGGGGAATGTCAGAGATGCCCGTGGAGTGGTGAGGTGAGAGGAATTGTGGGAAAGATTCTGAATGATGCTTGGACTCAGGGCTCCTGAAATTAAGCTGGCATGGTCCCCATCATCTATGATTGCATCAAAATCAATCTGCACCCCTTCCAGGCTGTTGCTGTCAATGTTATCAACTGTGCTGGTCACCTGGTTAGCACCTGGGGAGAGCAGCTCAGAGTTTTCAGTGCCAGTACCCTGAAGCAAGCAGTTAGCTTCTGAAATGGAGAAAGACCCTGTTTTCATGTCTGGCTGACTAAAGCTCAGGGTTTGGTCATACAACTGACCAGAGTAATGTGGCACATTAGAGCAGAGCTGTTGTGACTGACCTTGGGTCTCCATCTTAATACCATTGACCCTGCAGGTCTGATTGGCATCACTGACATGTCCTTGCTGTTGGGCTAGGCTATTCCTCAGCGTGATTTGCCGCCTACTGCCTACAAAGTTGGCATATGGTTGGTAAGTCTTTGCCATGGCCAAACTCGATTGCTGATTCCCAATGCCATGGGACACTGGCAGACAGCTCTCTGGCCCTTGGTAGACACTGCTTTGTGAGGTAGGACTGACCTGCCCTAACATCATCTGACTGGTACGATTGACAGCTGGGAAATGAGCACCTTCAGCCAGTGTCTGACTCTGGAGGCAGCCCTGACTCTGCGTTCCATTGCCCATGCTGCTGGGAAGCTCATTTGGGGCCACCGCCATGCCATAGCTTGGTTGGCTTCCATTCAGTGGCATGCTGTTGCTTCTCAGTTTCTGTCCTGGAATCAAGGAGCCACAGGAACCATCTAATGCCCCACCAATTGTCGACTGCCTATTTAAGCTCTCTCCATATTGCTGAGCCTTGTTGGATTGCAAATGGAAAGAAGTTCCATTGGTGCCACTGCTACCCCCACTGCTATTGGGGAGCAAGTTCTCCTGCAGGCCACATGGGCTATTTTCTACCAGCTGCTGATAGCCATTGGCTTGGGCTACTCCATTCCTCAAAAGGTTCTGCTGCTGGACAACCATGTTATTATATAAACCAAAGGCTCGAGCTTGTAGGGCTGATGAACGTTGGGCACACTTCAGTTTGGATGGGGACAGGTCAGCACTCCCTGAGCTGACTTCATTCCACTGAATGGGGAGGTCACTCTTGCTGGCTTCTGAGCTGGGTGGCTCTGGAGCGTGATACTGAGAGATGACATGGTTGCTTGGCAGGTGGGGCTGGTCAAGGCCATGATGACCATTGGCCATTGGGGTTCCATGCAGCACTTTGCTATTCTCAGAAATGCTGTTCAGGAAGTGCTGCTCATAGCCACCCTGGCTCTGAGAATTCAGGTACTGCACCACGTCGTCTGGCAAGAAGTCCTCATCATTCAAGTTGGCATCAGATTCCATGGTTAAAGACTCCAAGGTGACATTCTCACTGATGCTCGGAGGACAAGGAGAAGAGTAGAAATTACGGAACAGGCCGCCCTCAGGGCGAGTATAATTCTGGAGCACAAAATTATGTTTTTCCACGGATGGAGGCAAAACAGGAGGGTTAAAGCTATTTAGACTGTTGACACGCTGAACTCGAGGCAAAGAAAGGTTCTCTGAGACCATCCGTACAGGGTCACTGGCTCTTCTCATCCCATTCCCCAGCATATCATGAGGCAAAAGGGTCCTCCGCCCATAACTGTTGGTTCCACCATCACTGCATCTTCGGGGAGGGTTGACAGGGGGGAATGGGGAGAGGCCAGACTCCCTGCAATCCCCCATCAGTGCCATCCTTGTCTTCAGGCTCATCCTTTCCATGTTGGGTAATGGGGTAGGTGGGGGCCCCCCAGTTGCTGCTGCATACTTGGCCTTCAGCCGGTACTGCTGTGCAGGGGTGAGGCTGAGGAGGCTGGGCAGCCCATCAGCTTGACTCGCCTCACTGGAGCGGCGAGAGGCGTCTGTGGAGATGGGGTCATAGGAGTCGGCCACACTCACATTCTGGAGCCGGCCCTCAGCTTGGGAAGCCTCACTGGACCTGCGGCTAGAGAAGCAGGGGGAGATGCCTGAGGACCTGCGGCTACTCAGATAGGCCGAGCTGATGGTGCTGGTGTTACTGTCTCGTCGGTTCAGCACATTCAGCATGGTGACGTCCACGCTGGACAGTTCATTCCGGTTAGGGAGAATAGTCATAGGCCCATTCACACTGCAGCTGGGGTTAGACTGTATTCCTGTAAAAAGAACAGAGAGGAAAACAACTGAGGAGGTGTGCATCAGAGGAGTACTTCTCAGGGAAAATGCTTGGCTCACAAGCATGGCATACCTTGACAAACCCTCTTTGGAAAGAATGAAATTAGGTTAGAGTAGAAACTCTGTTCTTCATCTGGCCCTGGAGGGTAAGGCAATGGAGGCCAGATGGCAGAGTTAAAAGTGACCTCAATCCAACCTCTCCCTGAACAATAATCTCCTCTACAAAACACCCAAAAGTAGTCATTGAAAATTTTCTTGCATCTTTACATTGACAAGGAATCCATTCCACCCCAATGCAGCCCATTCCATCTTGGGAGGACTTTGATTGGGAGGAATCCCTCGTTTTGACATTGGACAACTCCTACTGGGGGCTCCTGGTTCTGCTTTGTGGGTCCAAGCCAAGTCCTCTACTACAGGACAAGCTTCAAGTAGTTGAAGGCAACTATTCTCAATGAACAATCATCAAATATTTACTAAGCACCTACACATAGACACTATGCTAAATACTGGGGATTCAAAGACAATCAAAAAGAGTCTTGCACTCCAGGATCTTGTGGTCTATTAGAGGAGAGACCTGTGTACATATCTAGCTACACAGAGAACAGCCACAAGGCACTACAGGGCAATCTGGGGGAAAAGAGGAAAGGCATGAACAGGCAGAATGCTCAAGAAACGCCTCATGTAGAAGGTGGTGCTTGAGCCGAGGCTAGAAATGCATGGAGGGATTCTATACAGCAGAAGAGAAGAGGGAATTCATGTCAAACAGCCAGGTGAAAGAGACAGACACAAGAGATGGTGGGTCATAGGAAAGGAATAGTAAGAATGGAATTTGGCTAGACTCTGGATGGCATGAAGGAAAGTCACGTGTCATAAAGCTGGAAATGCAAGTTGGGGCCAAAGTGACATTCTCTGAATGTCAGAGAAATTTATATTTGATTCTGTTAATTGAGTGCCACTGAAATTAATTGAGTGGGGAATGATGAGGTAAGATTTGACAGCTGAATGGTGGGTAGCTAGGAAGAGTCAAGTCTAGAGGCAGGAAGGCCAATTAGGAAGCTACTGCAGCAGTCCAGGTGAGAGAGGAGGAGGACCTGAAGTAGGGTAGTAGCCATGTGAGTGGAGAGAAGGGATCACACATGAGATGTTGTGGAGATAAAAATGGTAAAAATTTGGCAACTATTTTGATGGGTTGTGGATAAAAATGAGGAGACAAGGATGGAGAGAACTTGGGTGAGTAGGAGGATCACGATGGCCTCAATGGTCATCAGGAAGTTCAGAAGACGTGTGCGTACTTTCACTCAATGATACCAGTACCAGGCCTTTATCCCAAAGAGATCAAAGATAGAGGAAAGGACTGATTTGTACAAAAATACTTACAGCAGCTATTTCTGTGGTGGCCAAGAATTGGAAATTGAGGGGCTGCCCATCGATTGGGGAATGGCTGAACAAGTGGTGGTATACGATGGTGACAGGATACTATTGTGCTATAAGAAGTGACAAGCAGGCTGATTTCTGAAAAATCTGGATATGAACTGATCTCAAGTGAAGTGAGCAGAACCAATCATTGCACACAGTAATAATAATAGTGTAACCATGATCAACTGTGAAAGGCTTGGTTACTTTGATTAATGCAATGTTGTTGCTCATTTAGTTGTATCCAACCCTTCATGATGCCTTGGACTATAGCACACCAATGCTGTTGATGAGGTTTTCTTGGCAGAGAAACTGGAGTGGTTTGCCATTTCCTTCTCCAGTGGATTAAAGCAAACAGAGCTTAAGTGACTTGCTCAAGGTCATGTAGCTATTAAGCATCTGAGACCAGATTTGAACTCAGGTTTCCCTGACTCCAGACCAAGTGCTCTATTTACTGAGCCACCTAATTGCCCCAATACAATGACCCACATCAATTCAGAAGGACTTATGATGAAAATTATTATCTATTTTCAGAGAGAGAGAGAGAGAACCAATGAATTATGAGTGCAAATTGAAGTATAATTCTTGTTCATTTTCTTTATTTTTCTTGCTTTTTTGCAATGTGGTTATATTGAAATGTTTTACATGATATTACATGTATAATATGCATCACATTGTTTGCCTTCTCAGTAGGTGGAGCAGGAGCTGAAGAGGGAGAGAATTTGGAACTAAAATTTTATATTTATACATAACAAGTAATTTTTCTTAATTAAAAGGAAGTTCAGAAGAGGAGTAGGTTGTGAGGCAGGGATAATTAATTGTCTCGGACATGTCAAGTTTGAAATATCTATGAGACATCCAGTTTGAAATGTCCAATCAGAAACTAGAGATAAGGGAACAAATCTCAGCAGAAGGCCTTGAGAAAGATGTGGAAATCTCTAAGTGGTTAGCACAGGAATACTTCAAGCCATCAGAGGTTGTAAAGTTGCCAAGTAAGAAAGAGAAGAGAAGAAAAACTAGGACAAAGTCATAAGGAATACTCAAAGTGATGGGGTGTGCTATGGATGATGAACCACCGAGGTAGAAGGAAAACCAGGAGATGATGGTGTCACAAAAGCTTCCGAGAGGAGGGAGCCTCCAGCAGGAGAGGGGCTACTCAAGTTTCTGATGTTTCCTGTAAACCTTTCTTCCCTGGGTTGAACACCTAAAGTTCTTTGAACCTTCTCATTTTACAGATGAGGATACTGAGGCTGATAGAGGTAAAGTGACTCACCCAGGGTCATACATCCAATAAGTGCTTGAGGCATGACTCTAACTTTAAATTCCTTATGCAGTTGAAGAATAAAAAAGTCACTTAAAACTGAGGCAGGCAGGAAACCAATGACCTACTCTCCTGGAATAGATGTCCATCTATCCTGAGTTACTGTCAAAGGTGGTATGAGGTGGGAGGTGGAGGAAGGGTAGACCTAAGGTTATCAGGAAACAATATACCAAGAATGGCATGTCTACAGTCAGAAATTCCTGCAAGTGGGCCGCTTACTTCTGGGGAAGACTCCAAGATTTTAGTCTCATTTGTGAAGTCAAATAATCAGTCCCCACACTGGAGATAAAGGCAGATCATATGACTTCCTAAGGACCTTCCAAACATTTCTGAGGTTACCAGTGGTTGTCACATTCATATTTCCCATGTCTGGAATATTCTCCCTCCTCGTCTCCATCTCTTAGAATTCCCAGCTTCTTTCATGACTCTATTCAAGTGTCCCCTTCTACATGAGGCCTTTCCTCATCTCTCCAGATTCCTGAAATTACCCAGTATTTACTCTTTGCATGTGACTATTTGTATCTGGCATCCCCTCCCCATGCCCATAGCATCAGTTCCTTGAAGGCAGGGACTTTCTCATTTTTGTTTTGGAATACCCAGTGGTCTGTTTGGTACTTAGCACATAATAGATGCTCAGTAATGCTGGTTGGTTGACATGCTGCCTTTGAGCAAGCTGTTGTCCCTTGAGTTTCTTACCGTTTCCTATGATAGGAGCTAGCGCAGGGGCTTTTGGAGGTGGGAGGGGGTTCAGCCGTGGAAGCATGCCATTCACTTGTTTCAATCTTTCTGCTTTTACTTGCTCCATCCATTTGGTCCCTGTCGTGTTCCTCCGAGCTTGCAAGGCAAGAGCGGTGGTTGCCGTGGAAATGGTAGAGTCCATGATGGGGGTTTCGTCAATGGCACTGAGGTCTCCTACACTGCCTCCGTTGGTCAGATGGAGCTCGATCCCACTGTTGGAATAGGGGCTGCTGGGGGACTGCTGGCTGCTGCATGAAGACTGACCACCAGGGCTTGGCTGAGATGTCTGTCGAGGGGAGGAGACCAGAGAAGAAACTTGTCAGGCTGAGGCAGGAGCCTTAGTTAGCTATCGAGCTAGGCTACCACAGAGAAATGATGTGAGTATGGGTGCCCAGTGACTCCTCTACTTGGGCTGCCAACCACAGGTGTGCCCCAGCTGCTTGAAAAAGGGGGAGTCAGTAGAGAGCTGAGGAGCATGTATGCCCAGTGGAGGTACCACTGGAGGAGGTCTGTGTCTACCTTAGCCTGGCTCTTTTCATTCTCTGTCTTCTCTTTTCCCTCTCAAAAGCTTATGTTAGAGGACAGAATTACACACACACACACATACACACACACATACACAATCCATATTCTTGCACACAAACATAACAAATCACTCCCCACAGTCCTCTCCATGCAGTCTGGGTTACGTGTGAGATCTCTGGGGGACCAGTTGTCTTCATGCCATCAGCATGTCTGTTGCAGGCACAGAGACCAATGGGGAATATTTTTCCTTTACTTATGCCTTTCTAGCTGGTCCCCAAACCTCTACTAGATGGGGATGGGCAGCCATCCATCATGAATGGGCACACCCCATCCTGGCTGAGCTCCATTGGAGATGTTCTCTGCTACGTGCCTGGAGACTCAGCAATGGCCTGAAGGGATCCTCCTTCCTGAGTAGTGAAGGGGCCTGGCAAATGGCTTGCTCACTTGTCTTCCTGGCCTGTTCATGCTATGCCTTCTCATCAAATTCAAGTTAAGAGCCAGATTTATCACCATGTAACAAAAAGCCTGCAGACTCATGCAATTCTAATTGGCCACAGGTGCTAGTTCATTCAAACACATCCTAAAACAGTGACAAAAAGGAATTCATGCCTTCTGCAGACACACTCTGAGGGCAGCCCCTGTGGATTCACAAGGTGGTACAAATAATTCCAAATAGCATTCAGAAGTCCCAAATGCAAAGAGTCGGCAGATGCCTTGTATTCAGGGGGCTAGCCACATCCTCCTGTGCCATGCAAGGTCTATATATATACACACAGATAGGATGAGCCCAAATTTCCCACATGCCAAGCATCACACAAAAAAATAACCCCAACAATGTCAAGGATGGGCATGTGGTTGACTGAAGGCTCATCACCAGACACATTATGGAGGGTCACATGTACAAGGGAAAGGGAAGACAAAATGACAAGGCCAAACAAACATTCCAGTGACAAGACACCTGAGAAGGTCAGTTCCCCTCACCTGATTACCCACTGTCCTTAGGAAGTGAGAACAAGACAGTTAAGAGCATTAGACAAAAGAGACATTGGATTAGTAAGGAGAAAAGGTGACAAAATTTAAATCACAAAGCAAGGTAAACCCTTATAACTAGTTGTCATATTTAAAATGGAATAGAACCAAAGTCATTCAGGCACATGCATTAAGGACCAGCCAATGCACAGAGGGAGCTGGCAATTTGTTTTTTCTTTAAAGAGAAGTAGTTGTAACCAGTTGAAGGGCTGTTAACTATTCAGGGAAAATCAACCGTGTTATTCCTCAGGTAGGTCTTCTAATCTACCTGGGCCTCAGTTTCCTCATCAATCAAATGAGGGAATTGGAAAAGGACATTAGTAAAGGACTTTCTGACTCTAACATATCAAAATTCAATGAGTTCACCAACTAATTAGCATCCTGGAATATCAAAAATATCCTAGACCTGAATCCCTCTGAATTTTCCATTTCCACCACTGATCTTGGATATAAAAGAAGACATTAGGGGTCCCCATATTGTGCCTGCAATAATGATAATAATAATAATGGCATTTATGTAATACTTTAATGTTTGCTGAATGCTTTATGGAGATAACCTCATTTGGTGCTCATAGAAATCCTGGGAGGTAAGTGTTATTATTCTCTCCATTTTACTGATGAGGAAATTGAATCACAGGTTAAGTGATTTGTCCAGGGTCACAAGGCTAGTAAGTGTCTGAGGTTAGACTTGAACTTGCTTTCCCAGTTCCCAGGATAGGGCCATTGCACTCCTTAGCTACGTTCTTGGGTTTGGCAAAACTTCATTGGGATACGTGTCCAGCCTGTGCAATTCTCAGCACTTAGCACAGTACTTGGTGCATAGTAGGCATTTAATAAACAATTATTGACTGGGTGATTGATTGATAAGAAAAAAAAAAGTCAGGAAAGGCAGGACAGGCTGCTCTAGTCTGAAACCAAAATCTTCCATCTTTGATATATGTGACCAATGTGACTGAAAAGTCACTGTCCTCTCCTTCTAATGAGAAGAGATGTTGGGTATTGGCACAGGTCTTATGTTTCTCTACCTATGTGATTCTGCAGTCTTCAGGGGGAGGCAGCTACCTAATCTTCAAAATGAATTCTTATAATGCCAACTTCATGGGGCACAGTGCAAGGCTCACACAAGAATGCATGCAAGCTTTAATCTCCTACAGAAATATCACTATAAGTACATGATACCTAAAGGAATTATGAGGAAAATTACTTTGTAATTTAACTACTTTGCTAATTAGGGTTTTCAAATAGTATGTTTTCTAAAAGGAACACAGCCCATACCCTAAAAGATACCAGTGGCTCCTCCATTACTATAGGTCTGGCCCTGGGAAATCATACACCTTAGAGTCTTCGCAAGCAGTCTGAGTGCAAGGAGATGTGCTGGTGCCTAGATGCAGAAGCTGAGAGCTAGAAGGGTTCTCACATACCATCTAGTCCAACCCCATCCATTTATAGAAAAGGAAATGAGGCCCAGAGAAATGGAGTGAGCCGCTCTAGGTCACAAAGTTAGTTAGCATCCAAGGTGCAACTTGTACCCAGGGCATCCTAACTCCAAGGCTGGCTATCTAAGCCCCATATGTCCTCTGGCCTCTTCATGTAGATGAATCCAGGTGTTCACATCTATGCAGCATTGGCAAACATGTTTAAGATGAGACTGTCCCCAGCTGACTGGGAGTTGATCTTGCTGTTTAGCTGTAGTTTGTTCCTCATGTCTAAATGCATGAAATTGTATCTTAGCCCATAACCAGATGCTTCATCGGGCAGAAATGGATGGAAATATCCAATACAGTATATAAAAAATAACCTCACCCCCTAGCCCAAACATGAGGCCATGCCAAAGAAACACTCATTTCCAGATCCTTCTATGACATTCCCTTTGGGGGCTTCTTGAAGCTCCCAGATGCACCTGACGAGGGATTTTTGGCAGTGTCTGATGGCTTTGGGTCTTAGTCATAACCATCAACCCTCCCTTAGTCCTTGGACTCAATTGTTCCATAACTGCAGGGATTATATGACAAGATAATGACCTTCTTTCTATGAGGCAATTGTGGCTTTCTCACTTTCTCACATCACTCTGGTTCAAGATGGATAAAAAATGCTGTGGAATTAGGTGTTGAGGACACCCTTTTAGCATGATTATCTCATGAAAAGTTCCCGCTCCGGAAAAGCCTGCAGGCAGTGTGACCTGAGCTGATTACATCTATACTGTGAGGCTGGCAGTACGAGACACCATGTCCTGGTATTTCTGGACCCAGATTTTATACTTAAGCTTCTTGACTCCTAAAGGGTTTTGGGGGCATTAAGAAGGGCTAGGACAAGCCCGAAGGTGGGGCAAGCGCCTACCATTGGCTTCTCAGACTTGACCGTTTTCACTTGCAGGCATTCATCCCGCTTTGAGGTAGAGTTGTTGAGGTCCTTCTGCTCGCCCAGGGCCCCCTGAGTCTGCTGGCCTGGAGATCGGGATGGGGCATGGCTGCCAGGCTCCCGAGGAGGAGGAGGCCGGGGGTGGAGGTCTCCACGTTGCTTCTTTGTGACATGTGCCTCAGGGCCATGCACAGTCTTCACGTGCTTGCGAAGAGAGCTGGGGTCCGTATACCGTTTGGTGCAGCCTGGGATCTTGCACACGTATGGTTTCTGTTGAGACCACGGGAAAAAAGACACTAGATTAGGCTGGGCATTATTGGCATCTGAAGTCATAATTGGATAGTTATTTTCATACTTTTAAAGGCCTCTGTCCTTTTTTTTTTCCTTTGGTCAATTGTTTTTTCAATTGCTCTCCTACCCATGGTAAAGGAGAAAAACAGGAATGCCATGTTACAGAGTGCTTAAAATCCTCAACAAATTAACATGGGGAGAGGACCAAAAGAACCCATGTATAGAGTGGGAGGTGAACTACATTGGCACTGTTTCTTTTGTGATACACAAACCCAAGATGATAAAGAATCCACCAGAGTGTACCTAACCCATCATATGTGGTTTGTACTAATGATCTTTTAATCTTAGTTCCACAAAACATTATTGGCAGTTCACCTCTCTAGGACTCAAGTTCTTCATCTGTAAAATGAGGCTCCATGGCCTTGGAGATCCCTCCAGCTCTACATTTAGGATTCTAGGATGCCAAGTCACTGAGTCTTTCTGACTTGTAATTTCCCCTGACGTCCCTTCGGCTCGAGCTTGGTCAGCCCTTGACATTATTATTATTTAACTTTTCTGAATTGTATAAAAGTTTGATAATGTTCATGATGGGATACATCATAGCTCTAGAACTGGTAGCTATCTAATCCAATCTACACATTTTACCTGTAAGGAAACTGAGTCACAAAGTGGGAAGATGACTTGTCCAGGATGATCAAGGTAGCTAGTGGCAGTGCCTGAGTTTGAGGAAAAATCTAATCTGATCTATATCCCCTGTGTGGCTCTGAACAGAACCAGTAAGAATATCGAGTCTTGAACTGTGGATGCCATTCATTCATTTATTTGTTAGGTTGGCTTACTCTATCAAATGGGTACTTTCCATCCTATCTGGCAATATTTTCTTGAAAACCCAAAGGTAATAAGATGGACTCAATCACCTTTAAGGACCATTTCTGCTATAAAACTATGAATATGGCTATGAGAGGTGTGGTACCATAGCAAAGAGGGTCATCCTTGGGGTGAACAAGATTTGGGTTCAAGATCTTCCCCAGACCTATCCTAGCTATGTAAATATGGGTCAGATAATCAACCTCTCACTACTATAGGCAATTCTCTAAGATTATGATAGATACCAGTAGGCAACTTATAATCATTGAAGGAGTGGATATCCTGGGAGTTCTGAACAGTGATGAAATCAAAGTTCAGCCTTCTACCATTCCCCAAAGAGCTACTAATACCATTTGTTCCTTATTAATTGTCAAGCAATTTGTATCCCATTATTAAATTTATAAGATAAACTAATTGCATAAATGTGGAAAATGGAGCACTGATAAGCTTAAATAATTTCTGATGTGACAGTTTCTGTGAATTTCACTATTTAACCCTAATATTCTCATGACCATTGCTGCTTTTTAGTTTTCTGGGCTTAGATTATTTCTGCGTTCCTATCTACATATATACTCTTGAGATGATGGTCTATTAGAAAACCAGCTATCAGGAAATGCATGAGCTGTCCAATGTGCCTATTATAAAAACAAGAAAGGACACTTCTTTCCCAAGAATGCTTCCAGAACCATTTTTTCACTAAAAGCCGCTGAGCGGATTACCTGCTCCCTAAAATGCCAAAATGCACTCACTAATGTGGTGAAGCTGAGATCCCTGAAATTACTCTGAAAGCTTCACCCCCAAATGGGAGTTTCCTATAGAAAGAATTGGTTCCCATTAAAGAGAAATGACTCCTATTCAGGAGATCATGTGACTTGTGGCATATATAGAATGAAATGAGCACATCAAGCTACATGCATTAGAGACAGAATAGCTCTAATGACTAGCTTAGGAATGGTATAGATGCCTGGGATTAACATCCCCCCATCCTCCTCCCTCCATTGACACAACTTTCTCCTCCTTGGATATACTAGGACGTGACCCATGGAATGGGACCACATCTGTTTCTCATATCTGTTTATAGCTGGTCTTTCATAACTCACACATATGCATACATCTATGTATGCATTAACATATGTGCTCATTATATATAATGTATATACATGCACATCATGACGTGATTTTACACAGATAACAGAAAAGAAGTCCCATCTCAATGCACTAAAAGCCAAGGCATTTTGGATTCTCTCAAATATTATTCAGTCCAAGCAATTATTAGATACTTATTATGTCCTTATGGCCTGTAGTATCTTTAGACCAGGCACATAGTAGCAACTCAATAAAGAGGAATTGTATTGATCTGAATTAATTGTGAGCTATTATTTTAACTACTAGGAGATAAAGCCCAGTGACAAACAGTCCCTGGCTTTACATAGCAAGTTCACCTTCTGCTACAGTAGTCAAAACAACAAATACAAGTGGGCAGTCTTAGTTTCCTTTGCTTGAACAAATACAGAAGTGAGCATTCACCCCCAGGACATCTGTTGGTTGGTTGCTTATTCATTTGTTTGGTTGGGTTTTTACTGCTTATTAACTTTATTGATGATGTAAAATGGAGAAGAAAAATAAATGTCCCCATAACAGAATCAGACTCACCTAGATGAATAGCCTGGAGAAGGGAGCAGACGCTACCAAGAGGAAATGTAGGAAGCAGAAATATCCAGTCCCCAAATGAGAGGGTGCAAATATAGCACGTGAAAGCAGAGATTCTGATCACTCCTTATCTGAATGATCAGAAAGCCTTCTTGGCTTTGCTGCTGAAAGATGTGTTTTTATAAGTCAGGGCCTTGATGAGATTTCAGAATTTGTCCAAGGGCTCACAGGCTTTTTCCCACAAAAGAAACACATTAAGGCAGAATCATCATGGTGACTGAGGCTCATGGTCTTTTTCATTATTGGTTCAGTGGGTTTGGGTAAATATCTCTTCATTTTTACATGTTGAAATTAAAAAGGTCTAAAAAAACTCTTGTTCTTAAAATGCATCAGCTGCAAGTCTATTTTAGACATTGTTTATTGATTAACCAGATTTCCCTATACCTAGATGAGTCATTCATTCATTCATTCATTCATTCATTCATTCATTCATTCACTCATTTATTCATTCACAGATTTACAAGGCAAATCTGACAAATTTGTTTCAAATAACACTGCATTTTATGAATTGGAAAAAACTTTGACACAGAGGAGGGATTTGTATTTCTAATACTAATGGTTATACAACCAAATATTATCTAGAACAAGAAGAGGAAACCTTGGTATATATGACCCTAAGCAGCATTTTCCAAATGAATTTTGCCTTTTTGGGGATGACACATATTCACAGGACTGTAGATTCCGACAGAGCTGAAGAAGACCTGAGGAGTCTCACATTCCACCACTTCATTGTACACATGAAAAAGCTGAGTGAGGCCTTTAAGTCTCAAGTGACTTACCAACCCAGGAGAATATAGCTCCTCAAATAATAGTGATAATAATAACGAGGGTTTCTATAGTACTTTGTGAAGTGTTTTCCAAATATTATCCCATGTGAGCCTCTCAATAATCCTGTGAAATTGCTGATACTGTTCTCTCCATTTTATAGATGAGCACACCAAGGTTCAGAGAGGTTAAAAGTGATTGGTCCAGATTCATACAGCTGGTAAGCGCCTGAGGCAGGATTTAAACTCAGGTCTTTCTGACTCCAAGCCCAGACACTGCCCAGCTGCCACCTAGTATGCAGATAGGTTGGGTTTTACATTTTTATTTTTATACCTAGCCCCAAACACATAGCTCATACTTAACAAATGCCAGTTGATTGACTGTACAAGATCCAGAATTGGCTGGAGAGAAAATTCGAGGAGGATAGAAGAGGCAACCCGTTGCCTCCTCCAAGCACAGGAGCAGGAATTAGGAGGGAGAATTAATCCTTCAAGATACTTGTCTTCTCTTTTAAAGTGATTGCTTATGGATAAGACCTTGAACCTTGTACCCAGTAGAGACCTCTTGGTGCAGTTGTCTGGGAGAGAGCAGACAGGGCTGTCTCGATGATGAGGGGGGAACATAATCTCTCCAGGCAGCGGTATTCTGCTAAAACCAAATGATCTCTGTCATTTCTTCCTTTCTTAAAGACTGACAGTTACACAGCTCTATATTAAGAAACTGAATGCTGTGACCTGAACTGGGGGGGTGTAAGTAAAAGGGGAAGAAGGTAATTTAGTCCCATGTTGTTTGAGTTGCCTTTTAGACTGTCTTTTGTATTCCGCTTTTCCCAGGGCTTAGTGTCATGCTTGCCATTGAATAAGTGGTTAATTCACACTTTTCATTCATTGATTCATTCTTACACAAGGACCAAGAAAGCAGGGGGGCAAGGAGGTTTCCTTTTTGCCTACCTAAGAATGGAGCAGAGAAATATTTTCTTAGGAAGTGCTAGCACCCACTAACTCCAAAATCTCAGAAAGGATGGTATTAAGCAGTAAGGGGTCTAAAGGCACCACATATCTTTCCTTTGGATTAAGTTTCTCTTGGCTTTAATTAATATACATTTATAAATCAGATGAAAAAAAAACTTCCTCAGCTTTTAATTCCCTGAATCCTCCTTTGGCACCTAGCATCTTTGGAAAGGACAGTGGATTTCAAGTCAGAGAGCCTGGGTTTGGCATTGTGGTTCTGCCACTCACGTACGTGACTTTGGCCAAATCAATCTCACCAATTCTCCTTTCTTCACATGTAAGATGAGAGGACTGGATGGATGGCCTCAGAAGCCCTACTGACTCAAAATCTCTAACCCCATGATCACATCAGATTCAGTTCCTTCATCTGTAAAATAAGAGTTTATTGGGCCACATGATCTCTGAGGTCCCCTCTGGAAGGCTAACTTAGCTGAGTTGGCTTTTGACCTCTAGATACTGCTACCTTTTTTTCCCCCTAATTTTTAAGAGTAGTAAGTAAGTAAAGAGATCAGGAAAATAAGATTTAAATAAACAATATATTATCAGCTGCAACACTGAAATGGAATCAGTTCAACCACAAAGGTTCATTAAGATGTGCAAGGCTCATGCCTCTTTCTCCATGTGCAGGGTGCGTGAACGTCTTCCATTGGGAGGAAAGCACTACATATGGATGACCAGAAGATGGAGCCACTGAACAATGAGAAGAGAACTCTGTTTGGGGATTTGTTTGCTGAAACCATCTGTTTTTCCTTCCAGGTCTGGCCTCAGGCACCACTTCCTTCATCAAGTCTTCTCCGATCCCACATTCCGCCCCAATCGGAAAGAGCTCACTTCCTCGTGAATCAGGCCCTGAAGAGCCTCCAGTCTGGGCTTCTGCATGGCCCTCAGCCCATCCGTTGCGCCCTCAGTCTCCAGGGGCCAGAAGAACATTGCTGGAGAGCTACAAAGGCCATTGTATACAACGCTTTCATTTGACAGCAGAATGAACAAGCCTCCAGAGTTTGAGTGACTGGCCCAAAGTCACACGGACGCTAACATGATGGAGACTCAGGTCATTAGACACCACTGTCCCACACTGCCTTCCAAGGCTGCAGCTCCTCTAGACTGTAAGCTCACTGGGGACAGTGACTGTGCTAGTGCCTGTCTGTGCACACCCCCGGGTCTAGCCTAGGGTCTCGCATGTCCTGCTGACTGCCAGCTTCCTTCCAAGCCCAACCTGAGCATTACTTCCTACCTGAGGCCATTGGCACTCTCCCATGCCCATGCCCTGTGTATTTCCTGTGTTTTGTGTGTATTTTGTTTTTCTCTACATGTACATGGGTTGCTTTCCCTGTTAGAATGTAAGGACAGGCCTATTTTACTTTTGTTTTGTGTTCCCCCATGTCAAGCGCATCCCTGACCCTCCTATGTAGGACCCAAGAATATAAATTCATTCCTAAATTATATTGGGAGATGTGCTGGTGGAGGAAGAATCCTAGTAGGCCCTTAATAGAGGGTAATTGATTGACTGGCATCTAAGCACACATTCATGAATTCTTGACAACGAAGGGCTTCTCTCTTCCCAGTTATTTTATTCTTCACTTGAGTAGCTACTCAGTTGTCCTAATGATGCACAAAGAAACTCATGGGATCATATATAGCCCTTGTAACTCTAAGAATGGCAGGGACCTTAGGATTCAGCTGTGCCTACCTGTTTAGCATCAAAGGGGAAATTTAGGACACACTCCAAATGTCCAGAAATGAGAAGGGAAAGCAACCCGTAAGTTATTGGCATCAATCACTGCCAGTCCCAAGATAGAGGCAGCCCCTCTCCATTATGAGACCGGCAATCACTCCCTTACCTCATTGGAATGTGTCCTGTTTTGATGCTTGGCTCGGTCTGAGGCATTGGAGAATGCTTTGTTGCAGCCCTCATGCTCGCAGACGTACGGTTTCTCTCCAGTGTGAGATCTCAAGTGGGTTTTCAAGTTTTCTAGTCTGGAGTAGGCCTTGGTACAACCTTCAAACTAAAGACAGCAAGATTATTCTATTGACAGTAGCAGATTATTCACAGAGGTCGAGAGGGGCCGGACAAGCAAAGAGCCGCCCTGAAATGCTGGGTTATCTGGCCCTGAGAAATAGCTGTCCCCAGAAGAGCTCCCTTCGTGCAGCTGCTCCCCAGTTCAGCGCCTCTCCACATGAAGTTTCCACTGCCAGGGCTAGCAAACACCCTCAAAGGTTCATGGGGCTTTTTTTTCTTTTTTAAAAGGTGGCTGAGGACAATGGGTCCCAATCTCAGACCACTGTTCTACTCAGATGTCCACTACTTCACATTCAGCACAAAGTTCATTAATAAGTTTTTGTCTTTCCCAGAATGAAGCATTTGTTAAGGTCTTCCAAGCAACCATGCACACCTCACCTCAGTGCACCCTTGGTTCACTTTGGGAAGGAGAGCCTCAAACTGTAAGAGCATTTGTGCTGTTTCCTGGGCTGCACAAAATGCCAGAACATTACAAATTGGGAGGCCAGGTATTTACTGATGCCAACTTGTTTCAAGTAAAGCTTTTGCCCCACACGTTGGAGGACAATCTGAGACCGGACTGATATGGGCAAACTTTGTGCCCCTCATTAGAGTGTGAACTTTGGGAGGGCAAGGATGGCCTTCCCACAGTACATGAATCTCAAGCATTTATTATGGCAGCTTGCACACAGTGGTCACTTAATCATTGCTTGCTCACAAGCTGGCCTGTGGTTTCCATGGGATGATGATGGCACAAAGAGGAAACTCTCTACCAATGCAGGGCAGTTTCAGAGAATTGACTGGAGCACAGAGAGGGTGATTTGAGTGTCTAGAATCACATAGCCAGTGGCTGTCAAAAGAAGGACTTGATTCTGTCCAGAGTTTCTGACCTCCAGGTTGAGTGTCTATTGATGACGCTAGGTCATCCCTCAACTGTCAAGAATGAGAAGCACTTCACTTTTGTGTTCTGTTGGAGGCATGGGCTGGGGAAGCTGCCTTACACAACCAGGCTGCTTTGCAGGCAAATGACAAGGGCTTCCACTGTCCCGTCAAGCACTTGGGCTTTCCCGAGATACCCCCAAGATTCCCTTGCCTAGCAAGTCCTTTAAAAAGCTGTGATCTCTTTACCTGTCCTTTTCTCTCTTCCACAGGGAACCCCTAAAGGCTGGTGCAGCCATGACCACCAGACCCTCCCTCAGCACTCCCCTGAAGATAATCAGGTACCGGGTGCCCAATGTTTGAAAAGTGCCCCGGTGCCCGCTTACTCACAGTGCATTTATGTGGTTTCTCTCCTGTGTGTCGTCTCATATGAACCACCAGCATATACTGGGCTTTGAAGGGTTTCTGTTCTCTCGAGCAATCTAGCCATCGGCACACAAACTCCTTTTTCTCCCCATGGATATGATCATTATTTATGTGCTGCAGAGATATTGGGGAAGAGGAGACAAATAATGCAAAAGTGTATTATTCCATTCTATATGCGACAGTCACCAGAGAAAAGAGAAGTAAGAAGCACACCATCTGGTTTTGGAAATAATTGCTGAAGTTGTGGTTTTTGTTCTTTGTTTATTCCTTATTGATAGATAAACATGTTGGAAGAATTTGTAATAAAGGGCTTTTTCTTTTTTTTTTCCATAGGAGAGAGGAGTATCACTTTGTTCTCAATAGGGTCTTCACCAAAGGACACAAAAGTTTTGGGTTTGGGTTTTTTTTTTTAAAGACAATCAACTGTAATAACAACCCACATGTAAAAACCTTTGGAATAGACGGTATAATAGAAAGGCAAGGTGTGCTTTCAGACTTTGATCTGTCTCCCTGTGAGAGCAGCACATTGTGTTAGGAGCCCATGGAAGCGGAGGGCTGCCTCATATCAGACTACCCAAAGGTGAAGGGGACCCGCTCCTCTAAGTCACATCCAGAAATCATTCCCTCTACAACATCTAAAACACAGTGGACATCCAGGCTTTTCCTGAAGATCCCTAATGGGAACTCCATCCCCTATTAAAAAAAAAAAGCCCATTCCACATTGAGACAACTTTGATGGTTAGAAAGCTTTTTCCCAATGCCAAGTGTAAATGTGCATTTTTCTACTGATTCTGCCTCTGGGGCCAAGAAAGCCAAGGCTAGCCGTTCATCTCCAAGAAGCTTCTTCAGGTACTTAAGGATGGCTCTCCTAGCCCTCCCCTTCTCCTCTCCCTCCAAGCCTGCTCTCCTCTGAACCAAGGAAAAGAGGTCATCAGAGGATGCTGCTACTTGCAGTCTGCACAGTGTTGTACAATCTCAGCAGCAGCTTTTTGACCTGCTACTCCACTAGGTGGCCTGGTACTTTCCAAAAAGTCATTTTAGCCATTAAAGTATCAATAAAAATCTGTTCCCCATGCTTTAAGGCTAATATTGGCACTGAGATAAAAGCACTCTGCATTCTGGAGATAGCTTAGATAAAAAGCCTTACCCACAAAGAGCCAGCAGTGCCTAGTCCAAGCCAATGAAAGAAGAGTGCAGTTGCCCCAACTTCTGAGGAGAGGGAGAGAAAGAAGGAAAAAGAGAAGGAAAGGTAAGGGAAGAAGAAAGGAGAGGGTGGGAGGGGATGGGGAGGGAAGAGGGAGAAGGAGAAAGAGTTGGGGGAGGAAGAAGGAGGAGAGATAAGGGGAGGGGGGGAAAGGGAAAAATAGAAGAAGGGGGGACAGAGGATGAGAGAGAAGGAAAGGGGGAGGGAAGGGGAAAAGAGGGAAGGGGAGAAAGAGAGTGGGAGAGAGAGATGGAGGAAGAGAGGGAGAGAGAGAAGGAAAGACAGAGGTAGAAGGAGAAAAAGAGAGAAGGAGAGAAAGAGAGAGAGACAGGGAGAGGGAGTGGGGAGAGGGAGGGAGAAGAGAAAATACCATTTCTTATGTTCATAATTTTGGAGCATTCCTGTGGTAAACAGGATGTGGGTTTCCTGTAAAAGGACAAGTAGGTTTTTTTCTGTTTTCCCAACTTTATTAGCATTTCTGAAAAGTTAAGATGGTGTGCAGAAGTATATAGAGAGAACAGATGTGCTGGACAATGTACAATGTGCAGTCTTTATAAGAGTTTATGCTGCACATGCACATCTCTGAATCCATTCATATTACCCTGGACTGTCACAAAAGTCCACAGATGGCCAGCCTTTTGAAACTAAGCCAGTTGAGAACAGAGGGGTTTGAATGCCTTCTTATTTCCAGGGGAAAGACAAGGAAGTACACAAAATCCATCAACTAAGGTAACTACTGGGCTAATTATTCAAGTCTTCAGAAAAATCCAACTTGTTGCTCAGAGAGCAGGCCAGATTAGCCCAGGAAATGACCTGAGCAATTCACCAATGCCAGAGGAGCTCAATTAAAGCCTGCGTATTTCCAGCTGTGTCCCCCAATTCTCCATTCAGGTTCCTAGAACCTGAGTTCACAAGATCTTCAGAACTTCTGCTTGGAGGCCCCCATTTGGTGATGACTCTAAAATAGCCCCCAAAGACCCCAACATCTAACTGGGTGACATCGCAGTACTGATGTTTCCTTTTTGGCTTGGCATGCCTGGTGCCTGGCATAGAGTGGGTGCTTAAAGCTGATTGATTAATGCATAGAGAGAATGCCAGGTAAGTAAAAAGGTGGTATTCAGAGGAGCAGTAGACACTCGACCATCACCTGATCCTCAAAGCTTTACCCTCGCACACCTCCAGTCCTCCAATGACTTGGGGAGAGTCCACTTATCCCTGCCCCTGGCGCTGGCTTCCTGGCAGGGCAAGGAGGATGTTTGGGCAGCACCTAAAACAGCAGCCAGCCTGGAGCTTTCTGGGATTCTACATCTGGTCAAGAACTCAGTGATCATAGGAACAGCAGGCTGAGCTCTCAATGGGGTACAGAGAGAATTCTGGTAACCTCATTCTGGAGAGGGGTCCCTGCTCCTAATACTTCTGAACACATATGGCTCGTGTATTTACAATCCCGTATACCTGCTATGTCCTCCTACAGAAATTTAACCAACATCTTTGACTGCAAAGCATTTTTCATCTTTTTCTGTGTATTCCCAGAATCTAATACATAGCCTGGCACAAAGCATATGCTTAATAAATATCTATCTAATTATATGAGAATGCTTTACTATAGGATGGGTCTGACATAACCTCATATGAGGGACTCCAAATTTGTCCCTACCTGTCTGTGATTTAATAGATAAGTCCTAGGAAGTTATCAGAGGAGCACAGAAGTAAAGAGACTTGCCCAGGGTCACACAGATCCTAAATTGCCAAGGTGGGATTTGACCCCAGGATTTTGTGACCCCAAGGTCAGTACTCTAATTAATATGCCATTCGGACTTGTTTTACAACATCCTTCTTTAAAATGGTGCCAAATTCAAGAACCACAAAGAAGTTCCCTTGATTTATTATCAATATGTCCTTCTTGAATTACCTGGTTTTGATTCTCTCTCTCTCTCTCTGATAGAATGTGAGTTTGCTGAGGTCAGGGCTACATTTTAGGCAGCTAGTTGGCACAGTGGAGTGATTGTTGGACTTGAGGACAGGAAAACATGAATTCAAATCCTGCCTCAGTCAACTACCCTGTTAAAGCTTTTGTTTTCCCATCTGCATAACAGGAATAAAAACTGTACCTACCTCCTACGGTTGCTCTAAGGATCAAATGAAGTTATATATGTAAAGCGTTTTGAAAACCTTAAAGTGATATATGTATTTTATATATAAATATATATGTATATGTGTATATGTATGCATATATATGTATATATATATATATATATATATATATATATGTATATGTTAACCATTACTATTATTGTTTTAGTCCCAGTATCTCCAGCACCTAGAACTGGTTTAGCACACAGTAGGTGTTTAATAAATGCCTGTTGATTGATTCATTGCAATGCTGAGTGAATTATTCTATTTGGTTCCTTTCACCTTTGGCTACTTTGCTGCCTTAAAAGTTCTTGCATAGATGTCTGTGTGCAGCCTCTGAAAATTTGACTTTTTCTGGTTTAATCAAGTAAATAAATAATTTAACTGGAGGGAAAATACTCATGAGTAAATTCCAAACTAGTCTTAGACAAAGACAGGTGGCCTGCCAGAGGCCCCAGAGGCAGAAGGAGATAGATGGGGTAAATTACAAGCATTTTCTCTATCCCCTTGCCGTATGAAGAGGTGGGAATGATCCACTTCCCAGCCCAGGGCCCCCAGTAGGCTGGTACCCAAGACACTGAACCTCCCTCGGGGCTAGGTCTGATCCTTCAGCTTCCCAGTGGGAACCAGAGAAGTGTGTGCTTTGGGGAAGCCACAGCTATGGAAAAAGGGGGTGGCTTGTGGGCCACTCTGGGCAGCTCTAAAGCTGTCCCTTCTCAATTCGAATCCACAGCAGGAGTGTTATCATCTTTGACTTCCAGCTGGCAGCCCACGGGACTCCTCCAACCTTGGAGAAAGAGAGGTAGGTGGTAGAAGGCTCTAGTCTCTTGGTACATGAGGCTGGGGAGGCTCCTGGGCCTTTTAAGTGCCTATCCTTTTGAAGCCTGGCACGTAAGGCCAGCCAAGTGGGCTGAGTGCTATCATAAGAAAAGGGCTCGTTAACACCTCCAGAAAAGCTGTGCTGAATGCAACCTCCCCTCCCTCCCAGACAATTGGAGGTCTGTGATGGACTACCCCTGGCCCCTTTACCCCACATCCCTCCTACTTCCCCCAATGTCTGAGCTCACACAGTTCTCCTTCACCCTCTCAAAGACTCTCAGCTCCCACCACCTGCAGGCAGCCACAGGCTGGTAGCACTCTTTTCCAGCCCCACGTGAACCCTCACATCAGCCTTGACCCTTCTGCAGACATTCCCTTGTTGTGTGTCCCCTCTGAAGCTTTACTTCCTGATCTGTCCAGTGTGGGTAATGATAGCACTTCCCTCCCACGGTGCCAGCCAAGATCAAACAGCAAGCATTCACTGTAAGCTGCTAGCATCTCTCTCCCCAAACTTACCTTCTGTTTACCTGCTTATCAATAACATTACATAGTTATATATCACAGTGTAGTATCATTTGCTAGGTGCTTGAATCTGACAACAATATTGTTAAGTCAATAGGCTTAGAGTCAGGAAGACTCATCTTCCTGAGTTCAAATCGGGCCTCAGACACTTTCTAGCTATGTGACCCTGGGCAAGTCACTTCACCCTGTTTGTCTCAGTTTCCTCATCTGTAAAATGAGCTGGAGAAGGAACTGGCAAACCACTGCAGTATCCCTGCCAAGAAAACCCCAAATGGAGTCCCAGAGTTGGACATGACTGAACAACAGTGATAATAATGAGAGCTAGGATTCACATAGAGACTTTAGTTGTACCAATTCATAGCATTGCTTACGATATCTCATTTCATCCTCACAACAACCCTGGCACTGTGATTGTCCTCATTTTACAGGTGAAGAA